ACTTAATTTCTTTCGCCCCCAAAGTTCTTAATTTAACTTGCTCCTATAACCTTAACAGCTTCACTTGTTTTGTTGTTCAGATACGAAGTAGATCAGGACGATGTATACACCGGGTAAATACTTCTGACGATTCGCCTCTGGAATTGATCAATTGTCGTAATGCGGTGAGTTGTACCCCTTAAATAAATGCAGACAATGGGAACATTAATCAATACACCGCAGCCTCAGTGGCAATGCATTGTATTCTTGAAATTGAACCCTCCCTTTCCCTCCTAGTGAAAGCTGTGGGCCTACCCCGAACAGCACGGCTGGATCTACACACTGTGCACCAGTAAAATGTTATGGGGTAAACAGTATTGAATTAAGCCGAGCTATGGGCTCTAGATGGTCGAAATTTTGAGGCCCCTCTCGCAAATTTCCCTCATACACTCAACGTCATATTCATCACTTCTAGTTTTGAGTCTTGATAAAATACAATACATTTCAGTATAACTTTACCACAATTTGGATGCTCCAGTGTTTCAAATGTAATTAAAAAACTCATAAAAACAAAGTCTTTCCTTATAAATCCTTTGTATGCATTTTTTATTACTTTACTTTATATTACCGGTAATATATTAACTATTAACATCCCACCCGCCTTTACACCGCAGATATATTTCACCAACTACTGCAGAAAACAAAAAGAAATTATTACACACCAAACGCACTTGTGATATTTTTACTGATCTCATTTAGCGCATTTATCTGGAATTTCGCAAATCAGTGGCATCATATTTAGTCCATCTTCCCATTGAAAAACAGGAAAAACTGATTTTTTTGATTTTTTTGATTTTTTTATTTATTTTTTTTTGGGGGGTGGGGGGGGGGGGTTGTGGTTGGGGCGGAAAATTTGATAGAATGTATTGTCATCGACCACGGGTTTATGTGCCAAAAAAACAGGAAAAACTGATTTTTTTGATTTTTTTGATTTTTTTATTTATTTTTTTTTGGGGGGTGGGGGGGGGGGGTTGTGGTTGGGGCTGAAAATTTGATAGAATGTATTGTCATCGACCACGAGTTTATGTGCCAAGAGAAGTGGGTCAATTAGCCATCCGAAGCCACGCGGCCAGATGAAACACGCGAACAAAAGTGAATGATTTAAAAATAAATAAATACTGTCATAATAAATTCCATTATCTGAACTTATTTCTTAGGCCAATTGGCCCTTTTCACTCCATCTAATGTAAAAACCTGGCTACGCCACTGCCCACATATCATTAGGAACAGTCCTCAATTCGAATGCTATGGCATCCGTCCGTCACAATGTGATGATGGTGCAGACTTCGCAGGATATTTCTATTAGGAGGATAAGCTGATTCCCTAGACCAGCTAATCGCCTCTCTCCACGCACCTGGATAACCCAAGGGAATATCACATGTGGATGGTACAGCTTAATACCAGTAGGGTCGCACGAGTGTCCGGAATTTTCATTGTGCCAATTTTATTCACCTACGAGACTCCATCTCCGGGTATGACTTCAGAGTCGCCTTCTCTTAGATGAGTAGCCGTCCAAGGAAAACGAGTCCCATCCACCCAAGGTGCTGGGGACGTTTTTGATTGCCTAGGCTGGGGGGGGGGGTGAACTCCAGTTCTCCAGATGCCTCAGTTCAGACCGCTCGGCCACCCAGCACCTAAGATACTGTTACACCTTTTATTTTTTTTTTTTAAAAAGCTCCCAACTGATTGCAAAAGTCATCTGCATTTGTTGATTTCTAAATGAGTTTGTTGTTGAAAGGCATCATCAAACAGTTCCCCGTTCATCCAGCCCTCTTTCCAACACGTACGTTCTAAGAATATTGAAGGATATATTGGACTACTTAATGCATGATTCTTGATTTTAGATTCAGCTTTTACTAATTAATTGAATGACTAAAACTAAAGTGTAAGTGTCGTAAGAGCAAACAATAGTTATGCCTTTAAGGAAAATGTAAAGTGCATGGTTTACTAAATGAGTAGAGACCTACAAACAAAAATTGAGCAAAATTGTACATTCGCTAGGATTAAAATTTTTAAAATATGCAAAAAATGGCCGGAACTGTAGAACTGATATAAACCTAGACCTAAGTATCAAGTACACAGATACAATACTTTCCTTACACCTAAAAGACATGTAGGACTATGGTATGAAGCACTCTCCTTAAACTGGTCCTTATGGTTTGTATTTCTTCTAAATTTTAAGGGCCCACGATCAATGTATTGATCATTCTGGCTCCTATTTTATACTGAACTGAAACATTATATATATATATTTTTTTTTTTACCAAAACAAGATACATCCCCACAAATCTAGTCAAGTATAAGAGACACGTGAATGCGTTTGGTTCACACTATATTCCCAACTTCTGGGAGTATCTTTGCGAAACGTCAGCACAGTCTGACAATAATTATGGAAAGAGACTGGAAAAGAGTTTGCACAAATGTTCTTGGGCAAACTTTAAACAGACTAAAAACAACTATTTTCTTACCTGAAACCATTCAATACCCTCCTCCTTGGTAAGAACGGCCCTCTCTTTCAGCGTCTTCTTCATCAAATGTAGGATGCTTTATGCCGGGTTTTTTGTTGTTGTTGGTGTGCAGTTACTTTCACCCACTGATTTCGGTAGATGCATTACAACACAAAAGGTCTCTGGCTCAGACTTGCCTGCTCCTATGCTTTGTATAGCAAAGGTAGTTCGTCTATTCACTATGTTTACAAATGAATTGGCCTACAGCTATCTGGGGTGATGAGGAGAAATCAGACTGCTTTTCAAAGTTGTTTTTGTTGCAATGAAATGTAAATGTGCTTGCTAGTCCCCTTCTTTCCACCTCATACAACCTCACCTTAGAGTGACAGGGGCAACACAACAAATGCGAATCAAGAGTTTCGCTCAGTAATGATACGTCTATAATTCTATTACCTTCTGCTGGATTTTTTCAACATCAACATTAGCATTCTGTGCTGCACATTCTTCGTCCTTGTCAGAAGATTCATTTTCAACACATGACTGGTCTTCTGTAACCTCCTCTGTATCACTAGAGTCAAATATCAAGTCATACATATTTTTTTTTTTTTTTTTGGTCCTGATCTAGTGGTCGGGTCCACCTGGTCACACACAAATTCAATCTCTACATTGTTAGATAGGGTTTGGAAGGTTCACTAGGCGTTGCATGAAAAAAAAAAAAANTCAATCTCTACATTGTTAGATAGGGTTTGGAAGGTTCACTAGGCGTTGCATGAAAAAAAAAAAAAAAGACAACAGTAATCACAAAAATCAGTTCACATCTGTATAAGATATTCACCGAAACAGCCAAAACAACATTCAAAATGGAAATTCAGAATGTAGGGAGTAGCTCATTTTTTGAAATCTTAGTAAGGATCTTTTATTATTTATTTAATTTAATACGTTGTTGTGTGACCGAGTGTTGTTTCCGACATTTTCTAAATTGTTTACCTTCTTTAGATGTCAATAACTAACAAACTAAATAACTGAATGGAAATTAGTTCAATGTACGAAAGAGAAATCATTACTGAGTAAAATGACCTACTAACACTATTATTATTATCTACTGTGTTTGGGAAAAAATAAAATTGGGAAAATTCTGGTTGACTAATGCCTTATGATGATAACTTGTCTCATATTTTTTCATTGGGTAGAACTGGCATAGTCTGTGACCACCGGTGCTCCCTCAATATTACCAATTTATACCAGAATTCCTGAAAAATTCCCCTTTCCCAGATATTTCAAAGTAGTGATTTTTATTCATTGGTGAATATCTTACAATATAACTTACAATAGAACTAATTCAATTATCGTGACTGTCGTGAGATACATATAGTTTTATGATTTATGTTAACCATCATATATTCTTTTGCCCGACATAAGTATATAATATAAATCTAGGTCCCACGTATAACATAGATATAGCGCCTTTTATTTCACATGCTTGTAAATTGGATGAAATGGCGTATTAGAAATAGTTAATAATACAGTACCCCAATCTGACTCCCAGTTCACGTGATGCCCACCAGACACGTGCAAGGACATAATACGTTATTAATAAGTTTCAAATTCTATTTTAAATTATTTCGCCGTGGAAGGCTTTAACGGACTTTGTTGTTGTTTTGCTCAAGTTTCCATGTAACCCAAACTTTTTATTTACTCTCCTCCGTGCTGTCGTCACATGACGATAATCGCCCATAAGCCGCCATGTGGTGATGATAACCACCATAGGAAAAGTGTCCAATTTGTTGTTTTTTTTATCTCTTACTTCTTTCATAAAGTGTTAAATATATGTCAACGAGACACCTATTAAAGCGTGACCTCATTAAGACAATGTTCCAGATCATATAATTGTTTAAAATGTTGATCCTTTCAATCTTTGTCGAGGTGCTGGGCCGCTAGGTATGTGTCTCATTTGCCTTTAGGCTTATCCGGCACTGAGGGTAACAATTATTAATGAAGAGTTTATAATTTTTTTACCGTGCAATATATTTTCAAGTTTTTTGTTTTGTTTTTCCTTTTTTCGGGGGGGGGGGGGGGGGATTATGGTTTTTTTAACAGATTTTCCAATTTGTGTACCTGAATTCAATTGTTTTTCCAAATTTTGTTTTTTTTTTTTTTTTGTGTGGGGGGGGGGGGGGGGAGGAGGAATTATGGTTTTGTGAACAGATATTCCAATATGTCTACCTGAATCCAAATGGTTTTCAAAACAATAACAAACCTCACAACAAAACTTCATGAAGTAAACCTTTCCCAGCAATCAAATAAATGGCTGTTACAAACCATTTCAAAATGAACTATGTATGTCTCTTCTTATATGTTCTATGGAACGCTGATTCAAGAAAGGCTTAGTTTCCCATTATTGTCGGAAAAAATGTATTCAAATTAAAAGTGCCCATTCTCCACTTGTTAAAATTTTAGCTCTTTTCATACCAGATACCAGAGCTGAAATATTTGACTTGTTGATTGCAGATGATATGGGAGTCAACGCGAATCAAAGAAATACGGTCTTTAAGTTTATGCATGGATCGGCCGCCGGGAACGTTGGATCTTACAACAAAGTCATGTGACCTAGAAACAAGCACACAGTCGTTTGAATATAAAAAGGTATCCGTTACTTCATTGGCACATGTTGCATTGTTCAATGTTGCTTGCAACTCGAATTAGGACCCGAAAACACGAGTTAACCCTGTATGGGTTATCTTTTCTTGCACTGAGTGCATCATTGGTTGCTAAACTCTTGCTTTAATTTAGGAACTAGAACTGAAATGTCTGGGCTGCACCCGTTTCGATCAATAGAAGGGATAGGGTTTATTATTAAATGGCTTTGAAAACGGGCGTTTATTTCAGATAATGTAAGTTGACATTTTAATGTCCAATGTTGATAATTGATAATTGACTAGACTCAAATAAAGGGTTCAAGGGAAAAACCAGTGATGTCAGTTTTTCAAAATTTCTATGTTATCTCCCTTGTGGCTACATTCCATTTAATAGAATAATGTGATACATTGGTCCAATTGAAAAAGCAGCGTAGTCAATACATAAATACGTAGACATCTTGACATTTTCATACTTTCATGAGGAACTTTCAAATTTTAAATTCAATTTTCTCAAAACTCTCAAAACCTGACATCGCTGGTTTTTCCCTTGAACCCTTCAAATGTTATCATACTGCTTTCATTGCACAATTTCTCCATGTTCATTTGCAGATGAAAGCTATCTATCACGTTTTGTCTGATACCTGTCTGACTGTGGCCCCGTCTGGCAGAAAGCTTACATTCCAGCCCTGCACGGGATTAGACACACAGATTTGGCTGTGGACGGCTAATCCTAAATTTATTCCTCCAGAAAAAGAGAGATAGTGATAAATGTGAATAAAATATTTATAATGACAAATGAAGGGAAAGATTGAGAGGTAGCAAGACCCTGTGTTGTAAAATTACACTTTGTATGAATTTCAATGAAATAAGTGGGTTTAAAATGTTTCAAAATGAGCCTGTTGATTATGCATTATCTGTTAGTGAGTGAAGAAATACTATGTTCAAGTGAATTGTGGTTGCCATGTTAACTGGATGTATGACTATGGTGTCTGGTGACTTTGCTGGACACAAACAGAAGGACATAAATTACAATGATAAATCAAACTTTTCATATGTTAAATATTTATTCTGTCTATAATATGCATGCTTTTTGTACGTACACAATGTCGTAGATTTCTGTTAGCATTCATTCTTGACAGATTTTAAGGTCTCTAATATCTGGCATTGTTTCATAATTCAGCAGGTAACTCCCCACTGACTTATGACAAAGATGGTATACTCATATAAGATAAAACTAACTCCTCATCATTTATATGATACTGAAATCAACAGTTCCAAGTTCATTTATTTCATTATGCAAAACAAGACACACACAAAAACATGGTATTTGTGCAAATTCCAGATGCAAATATCCTGAACTTGATGAGGTTTCTCTACTGAACTATTCATTGATGAGACAACAAATTCAAAGTAACTGTTCATTGCTGGCAATATTTATTTTATGATATCAAGCAAATCAATCAAAAGAAAACAATCTCTAAAGAGTATAATCCATTGGGACAGTAATTTTCTAGTAGCACTAGTAGCATTTTGTAAAGTTTATTATAAATGGTACATTGTAAACAGAATAGAAGCCATTTTATAAATAGAAGAGTAGAACAATTATCATTGAGAAGGTGAAGACTAGGTTCAGTTTGTAAAATTAACTCATAGAAAAAATAAACAAAGATTTTATTAAACAAGTTTTACTTCCAATACATATCCTCCAATCAAATATCTTGCTGGACTTTTCTAAAATGAGCACAATTAGAATTTGTGTTCTTTACAATTAAGTTTTATAGCAAGTTTGTACAATTAGATCCAAACCCATTGGCATGTGGCAGCTTATTTCTTAAGGGTATTGTAGAGATGATTTTATCTTTAAACGATAAGAATGTGTACCTGAGGGACCAATCTATAGTTGGAAATCCAATTTAAATTGATCTAATTCCACCATCAGAGAATGGCAGGCAAGCTGTCCTGGTACAGGGCCAGAGAATGGCAGGCAAGCTGTCCTGGTACAGGGCCAGAGAATGGCAGGCAAGCTGTCCTGGTACAGGGCCAGAAAATGGCAGGCAAGCAGTCCTGGTACAGGGCCAGAGAATGGCAGGCAAGCTGTCCTGGTACAGGGCCAGAAAATGGCAGGCAAGCTGTCCTAGTACAGGGCCAGAGAATGGCAGGCAAGCTGTCCTGGTACAGGGCCAGATGTTAGGATTTCAGATTTGTGATCCATGTTATTTTTCTTGTCAGTCTAGTACTAACATTGTAGTTATTTGTGTACAAGAAAAATTCAGGGAGACCATTGCATATTAATGAAATAGAAGAATTATCAAAAGCTCTACAACAAGGACTGCCCGGTACAGATGTCCTCATCTCAACAGCCTCATTACATGTGAATAATTATCTCACATTCTTTACAAAAACCACTTTTGTCTAGCTACGAGGCCATTCTAAAAGTCAAATAAATTCATGTTTAAAATAAGCATCCAATTACAAGATTTTATGAATTTGAGTCCAAATAATGGCTTGACATAGAAATTTCTGTACACTAGATAAATCTCAACTATCTATAACTTTGCTCTTGTTAGTAATAGTTTAGTTTTGTAATGTGTTATAGAAGTTAAGAACATAATTAAAGACAACTCATTGCCAGGAATGGAAGTCACAGGCTAGCTATTGGGTCAAGATGACATGGGTGTTATGAAATTTTCACTCCATAGTCCACCTTTGAGGACCAGTGTTGGTGTAATCAGTTGGTCAAAACCTCAGACAGTCCCCAATAGTTTACTCTTTGTCGCTACTCCAAAATTTCCTCTAAGAAAAGTTAGAAACAGTCAGATGGTTTTCTTCCCTTAATTTCATGGAACCACCTGTTCATCTGGTTAATAGTTGATATTAAAGATTATGTATTTAAGATGCCGGGCTTTTTTAGTTTAATAAACTAATCAGTAGGGTTGAATTTGAACTAACTAAAGACTCATTTGACTTTCTTTTTTAAACATCATTATGAATACATATTTCAACAATAATAGTTTAAATAACATTAGACTCATACGTATTTGTTCTTCAGACAGTTAAGATGTACATAGTCCGAAAACAAACATTTTTTCCTATTCTCATTTCCTATTGATCACAGCCACTTTTTGCTGGGTATTAAAAAAAACCAGCAAGAAACATTTAGACACCGCCAAGAAATAGCTTGACTGACTTGTTATGTTGGGCATATGTTATCAGGAGCTCCTCCAGGTCCCTCTCACTGGTTGGAAAACAAAAACACATAAGAATCAGATATCTGAACTTAAAAACTGGCTCTCATTAGAAAAACTAGACAATCAAATTACATTGAAAGCCACCAATCATACTTCATGATGATATAATACTAAAATTAATACCATAAGCAACTTATTAACAGGAAATAATTGTGGATCAAAATAATCAAATTGTAACTACTACCTCTAAGCCTGATATGGCTTCAAAACTAGCTGCCCACCATCAACTTGATTTAAATATATCTTAAGATCTATTGGTATATGTAAATGCTTGGCCCATAACCAGGGGAATATACATTTCTCAGTTTTAAACATTACTGAACCATCAACCTATATGTACTCAATAAACGAGGCAATTCTCCAACAAGTATCAAATAATCCGTACATTGGAATTCTCTTCTCAAATAACCTAAAATGGTCACCCCATATAAACAAAATTTTTAAAAAAAACCAACTCCACCCTAGGTTTCTTTGGAAGAACTCTGCGCCACTGCCCAACTTCCTGCAAACGAAATGCCTATCTCGCACTCGTCCGTCCACAACTAGAATATGGTGCGATCATCTGGGACCCACACCTTAAGCAAGACATGGTCACGATGGAGCGAATTCAACGTAACGCGGTGCGTTTTATCGCTCGAGACTACAAATCCACCACACATGGCTTCGTCACTGGCCTCTTAAAAAGATTTGACACCCCCCTCCTTAAAGACAGACGAGAGGGACTCCGCCTGAAATTCTTATATAAAGTGATCATTGGACTGGTGCCGGCCATCCCAGCAGGCACGTACCTCACCCCACAGAAGCCGGGTAGACTGATCAGAGCAAAACGCTCACTGAACACTGACTTCACCACTGACATTCCCATAAACAATTACACCCGAAATAATAGCAAATGCTTCAATGTGCCACCAGTGCAACACAGTGCAGTATCAACAATCTTTCTTCCCACACACAATAATAGCATGGAACCACCTGGAAAATGCCGCTGTGAACTCGATATCGGTGGAAAGCTTCAAGGCTGCCCTGGCATCAGTTAGGAGCTGTTAGACTAGCAACATGATTCCCCCAACCGTTGCACAGATGCCAGTATACGGATGCAGCCACGAACACTAACAGAACCAGAACCAGTCCCAAGCATGGTTTATAGTGAGCAACTCATTTTGTGATAGCAACCATAACTTATATCATAGGTAACATCTCTGTGATTCATACCAATTTTTTAAAATTCCCAAAAATGAAAGTAGTTAAAGTTAAATGATGGTGATCTAAGTATCCCTGGGCTGGTACTTACTTAGCGAGATGGACATACTGGATGAACCTGGCCGAGTCAAGGGTAACAGACTGGTTATCTTTACACTTTGGTTCAGATCGCTCTAGTTCAATCATCTCATGTGTTTTCTACAATCAAACATAGAGATTTAAAAGATGATTCATGAAACAGCTTTCCATTTGTCTATATTTTCACAATTGAATTACTTTCTTCTATCATAACCAACATTTATTGCATTCTTTATGTTTAGAAGTTGATGGACTCACCTGGGAATAGACTTTAATAAAACCAGCTAAATGTTCAGCCATCAAGTTCACTTTGTTTGATAATGTCACATTTTCTGAGGGCAGTTCTTTTGTGAAGGCCTCAGAAAGTTGTTCACACGATCTGTTTAAGAACCGCAGAACTAAATCCTATGTTAAATGAATAGATAAGAAAACTCCTATCAGACGCAAGGGATCCAAGCTAGGGGATGAATTTACTGCAATGCGTACGATTGTAAAGAAAGTTCTAAACATGAAGGGCTTTATATGAAATAATAGCCTTGGATGATGATAGTTACAGAATGAGACTCGAGATAACACAACTAAATATAGGTCTTACACAATTTTTCTAATGAATTATTTCACATTACTTAACAGATTTGATTCCTAAAAATATCCTCCATCCTGTGTCAATATGAACATTGAATCAAACTTTTGGTCAAATTTTTAGTTATCTACAAGTCTGTTTCAAAAGACATCCTAATTCATTTCTTGTCAAGGTTAGCAAAGGTATCATATTTGTATTAGTATTATAAACAATTGTAATTCAAATGAAACCATATTATGACAATTGAAAATGACACAACAAGATAAATTTTACAACACTCTCATAGTTAACTGACAGGAGTGGATAAGTGATTATGTCCTTTATAACTTCTTTCAAATAATAGTTTACACAATATTACTGTTCTACTCTTTGCATACTTAAAATTTTTTAATTGCTCACAAAACAATTTTTTGTTTGAAGTGTTAATAAAAGCTTTTTTTTCCTAATATTTGAGTGTGCATCTTTAGAATAGAGGCTTGCAAGATGGGCCATGGGGATGTACCTGATAATCATATTATATATGGCCCCAGGGTGGGGGAGAGGGTGTGAAAATATGTTGTTGTTCTTTTTTTTGCCTAAGTTATATACGGATGTCCCATTGGCCAATCAACTCTGGCATTCAAATTTGGCGATATCGACAGACGTGCACATTGCATGGATGATTTTAATCATCGGGGTGGATCGGTGCTACTTTTTCAAGACTACGTATTTTTTAAAATGCAGTCTCTACAGCTCCACACAGCAGCATTAAATTTTGAAAGCTTCTATAAGATCAAGTAAGCGGCATTTGAAATCTATTTTAAAGTCACCAGGCAGCTATACAATTTAAATATCCGAGTTTTGTTTTATCGATTCTCTTACCTTC